ACTACCTCAGATCCTTCTTTCTTCTCATCAGTAGGCTTTCCTTCCCAGACCTGCATGCATTGTAAAGTATTCAAGATCATGACAATGAACAAAAACAACCCTGAGACTAAAAAAAGGGGCCAGCTTCCAATATGCTACCTGCTTCTTAAACTGTTGTTGCTTGGCTTTCTTCTCTTGAATTGTCTTTTGTCGGGCCTCGTAAAAACCAAAATCGTCCAAAATGCACGTTTTGCTCACGTGCTCCTTGAATATTTTTATCATTTTAAGTCCTGGCTCCAGCTTGACCTACACACAAAACAGTTGAAATTTTCAGGAAATAGAAAAGATGACAATGAATGAGATTAATCAGTTGAAAAGATAATTACCTCCTGCGTATCCCTGCTATTGGTAACAGGCTTATTCTCATTGTTCTCAAGAATGATGTGCTTCAAAAGACTGTTGGGTACATCCTTCACTACATGCCACTTAACAGGGAAACAGCCATTCCATTTGTCTTGTTGCCAGTATTCCAGGTTCTTCTGGAAGTCGACAGGTCCTTCCATCTCCGCAAGTCCAACGAATTGCCCGCTAGTATTAACCTATCCAGTGATGAAGATTATATCAAAATAATGCAAGAAGAAAAACATCATAAACCAAAGCAGCAATTGACTATTTTGGATAGATGCACACCGAGAAGAAGAGGAAAACAGGGCAACCATTGGGCTTCTCTTGAGCTTCCTGGTATGCAGCATCAAGTTTCTTGTTGCCGTTAGGTGTGCTAGCCCAAACATTATACTTGATGCTTTTATGAACATCATCTTCGCTGTATGATTTAATAACAAAGAATTTGGCCTCAGAGTATTCCTCCGGAAAATCTGCTTTGTTGTATTGGTCCCGGTCAGGGGTAGACACCTTATCTTTTTCTTCCTCTTCCGTTGCATTGGTGGGTAAAAACTGTCCCTTCACAGCTAGAACACTGGGCACAAATCCCTTCTGGTTCTTGCTACCCTTAGCTCTCGGTCCCCTATTCAGCTCGTTCAAGCCATCCATGTTCTCATTACCATAACCATAGTAACCACCATTTCGTCCCCTTGGCTTATATTTATTGTCCACCGCCAGCCACACACGCCCATTAGATCGTGAATCATAACCATGAGAAGCAAACCCCACACCAGATCTGACTGTGTTTCCAAACTGACCATACAACTTATTAGGGTACATCCTATTTATATATCCCTGGGTGGTATTCATACCAGACATTGGTCTAGGATGAGGGAAACCCTGTATCACAAAATATTAAGAAATAGATAATATTAAATGGTGAGAATTCCATATTGGTTCTAAATGAAAATAAAATTAAAAGAACTGTGATGCTTGGCATGCTTACTACATAATGAGTGTTGGGACGGTAATTTGGATTCCTCGAAGAAGGCATGTTGTTGGCATTTGTAATAGAAGAGTTAATTGTAGAGCTGTTGACAAGCCTAGACTGTCCATCTGAATAAAGAGGACCATCTGACCATGGGAAAGAAGATCTCAAACCATCAAACCCATATCTGGGGTCCTGATAACCCGAAGTAGGGATATGTCCTGGCATCGCACCTCTGGCATATGAAACATTTGAACCATATGCTGAATTTTGATAAGTTGATTTTATGGGAGCTGTGCCATTGTTTCCCTTCGTTCCCCCACCATTTGCCAAAGCAGTACCATTTGGATTAGCTGTTTCTACAGGTAATGGCTTTTGCTCAGTGGCTGCAGAGGTTGAAATGTCTCCCTGTGATTGAGGAACTGTTGTTGGACTAGGAGTATAAGGCCCACTGGTTGGAGTAAGAGGTTGGAAATATGGAGGATATTGGTAGTGCTGAGGCCCATACAGCTGACCATCATTCCCCATAGAGGGAACCGGAGAAGCTGCAGGTGAATAAGGACCATAAGGTCCATATCCATAACTATGATGATACATAAGAGAACCATTATCTCCATAAACTCCCTGAAAGAATGCAAGAAACTCAAAAAAGTTACTTATCAAAACATAGTAAAAATTCCAATTTGACCACAAATGCAATTATGGACAATATTCATAATCAAATAGTATCAAATACTTACCGAAGTCATATCAACCCCATCTGAAGTTGAATACCTTGAATAATCATCCCCCCAGTCATTGCCAGTCCCGTCATAACCTACAAAACAATCCAGAGGAAGTTAGAAATCACTAGGTAAATTTTCCAATAACAAATGTTGTTACTTTTCAGTAGAGCTTCCACCATGGTTTATAGCTTACATCTAAAAAATTCAACTTGATGACATTATAAAAATATATGATTTCTAATTAAACCCACTCTTGTATTCATATACCTCCATAGTAATACGATGGGTATCCATTGTGAAGATAGCACAGGGCTGGATCCACGAAATCCTGTAAAAATGGAGTCACAGACCGTTCAGTTGGAATCTGAGCAATAACACCATTGCCCGAATCAACGGACCCATATTGATTAGCGGATGGCTGCACATGGGAAATTTACAACAATCACCTAACTTATCCCCAATCTAAACAACTCCATCTAAGTTGATAGAGTTGACAAAAAAGGTATATTATAAACGCCAATCTTTCTGTTCTGTAATTTAAAATATTTACTCTCAAAAACGTCTAATGAGGTTTTTCAACAAGTTTCAATTTTCTTACAAAACATCAAAAACATAATACATGATATCAACGCCAAACATTTGACAAGTACCTTTTTTGTTGGCTCTGGAATCTCAACAGGCTTCGCCTGAGAATCTAATGACAACTTCTGCAGCAAATCTGCAGCTTCTGTAGATATCAGTAGTAAAGGAAACACAATATTTGTAGTAAAATATATCAAAGTAAACTCAAAATCTACAAAAAAAAAATCCCATCAAACCAAAAGCAATAGGAGAAAGAAGAACAGATGTAAAACCAGTATTTTTACATTCAAACCAATTCAAAATTCCAATACAACGTAGACAAACATTAATAACAAAGAAATCATCCAGACCAAGGCGAAAATACATCAGATCCCATAACAAAACAACACAAAAAGCTCCAATAGCCAAACGCAAACAAAGTACGAATCAACAAACAAGCAACACACATCATACTTTCAGCTCGTCCACTCCTAAGCGCAAAGATACCTCAGATCAAACAGATACCCAAAACATTCAAGGCAGCCAAATACAAAATTTTCCCACAAAAAGAAAAAAAAAACAAAACAACCCAATAACCCCCAAATCCCCCCGACAAAATCCACACCCACAAAAATAAAACAAGCTCGAATACAAGAACATCAAGGAACACACGTTAGCAGACGCAGCCCACACAGATCTACAAATCAAAAGCAAAGATCCAATTCCAAACTAAAAAGGGGGTACACAGACAGAGAGATCCAAGTATTGAAAGCAACCCCAAAAAAACACGAGAGCAAGGATACGATCCGTAGAAGGAGGGGAAGCAACGGTAGCCATAGTAGATCTCGGAGAGACACAAAAGCAGCAGCAAACCGGAAGAGGGAACAACTGTATATGAAAACCCTAAAATCCCAAAATCCCAACACAAGGAAGAGGGTATGGAGGGGTTTAGAGGCGGAAAATCAAAGGGAAAACCCAAGAAAATGATAGAGAGAGAGAAGGGGGCGAAGAGGAACCAACGGGTCTCGCAGCCGCCAGAGGGTTTCTTCTGGGTTTCGGAAGAAAAAAAAGAGGGTTTTGTACATCCGAAACGGTGATTCAAATAGCACACGCCATTCGCTTCAGTTCTCGCGAGCGCGAGCCCTCACCCGCGGGTGACTTCGCTGTTCCTCAGCGGACTTTTCATTGGGGGAGTCCCACACGTGGCGGCACGGTATTGGTCCGGTGACAAGACTGCTGGAAGTCAAGGGTGGGTTTGATTGGTGGGTGACGCGGGACGGGTGAGGATAAGGTCGGGAGAGGAAAAGAGAACGTGGTGGAGTTGTTGCCACTTAGCGGAGGAAAACCTAATTGGGAAAGGACAGGGATGTCCCTATCCGGGATGGGATTTTCCAGTAATCCTAATTTTGGAAAAAAACTATTCCTGTTACAGGACAGGGTTGTCCTTATCCGGGATAGGGTTATTCCTATGCTGGATTGTTGCCACTTAAGCGCTAAGGCTGGTCGCTTGACTTGAGATGATCTAAATCTACTGTAAATTTAATGGGAAGAAAATTTGACAGAGCATGAAACAACGATCTCGATACAAATTTAGTCAATGAATTTTTTTGTTCAACGGAATCTTAAATTTTAAAATTATTTAATTGGTTCTTAAATTTTAAAATAATAATTTAATAAGTACAGAGTTTGTGTATAACATAACTTCGACCTTTTAATTTTGTATTTAATATGTTGGGAATCTATTGGACATTGATTTGTAAGTTTAGAGATTTATTAGTTATTTTTAAGGCTCAACAGTTTATTAGACGCAAAAATTTAAAAATTATAGTACGGAGCTATACTCGCTTTGGTATTTTTATTTGAGTTCAACAAATGTATAAGTGGGGATAAATTTTTTTTTTAAATTGTGGGAATCGAATTTTCAACCACTATAAAATGTTATTAATACTTAGTTTTATGGTTTAGAATGAGTGATTTTGAAAAAAAAAATAGTTAAAGTATAATTGATTTTCCAAAATCAATTTAAAGTTATTTTAAACTTTTCTAAAATCAATATTTAATTTACCAAACATGATGAATGAGAACATAAGTGATTTTGATCATGTCAAAAGTGATTTGATCATACCAAAATTATTCTCAAGCACGGGAGGAAAATTATTTTTATCGTATCAACTTTTACTAACTTTTTCTAAATAAAAAGAAAAAAATCTTACTAACTTTTTAATTTCACTTTAAAACATGTGTTGCAAGCTTTAGCTTCCCAAAAAAGGTGTGAGTAATATTTATCTTGAATTTAAACAAGTGTCAGTAATATTTACCTTAAACTTATTTTAAGTGTTGTAGAWTTTATCTTTTTATAGATTCTCATTTGAATAGTCATTAAAATTAAGAATATATTCTCATATATATTCAATGAAGTATATAACATGTGCCTGGTATGAAAATTATAGGATTTAAAAGAAAAACGATATTTTTTTTGCTTAGTTCGCTGAGGCTGAATATTTTTTTTTGTATTAAAAATAACTCAGGCATTTTTAAAAATATAATAATGTTTATTTTCTTCAATTATATCATTAGACATGACCATTTTTTAGTGTGTTTTACCTAATTTTTATAAAACTCTAAACTTTATGCTATATTTATAAATGCTTTTCTTTTTGTCTATGTAAATTACTATAAGATTGTAACCTGTTTTTCTCATTCTCTTACTGATTTATATATATTTTTGTAAAATCTCTAATGATTGTTGYATGGCTGATTAAGAAAACACATCATTTATTTCTTAAAAAACACACACACATCATTCTTGAATAATCTTTCGTTTTGTTTTTTATTTCTATAGTTATTTTTAGGAGAATCATTTAACAAAATTCATCAAATGTGTTAGACTTTATATTTTCAAAATAATATAAAACAGAAAAGAGTTATTAAATATGTTTATTATTGTATTTAATGATAAAAGTTAGCAAATTGGGTCTTAAAAATGGATGGCAAGAGTCCAAATTTATGCAACAATATTATCAAATATGTAGTTGAAATAATGTATTATAGAAAGTTGGGTTTATATAGCTCGTGGAATATTGAAAATTCACACAAAGTTATTTCAAAATTAATATATCAATATACTATATATAAGTATWATTAATAAGTCAATTATATACCGTTAATTAGTTAAAGCATCTCTCCAATTAAATGACTGTGAATTCGATTAAAAAATAAAAATAAACAATAAGATAAATATTTTATTGATCCTTTATTTTTAGAAGATTAAAAAAAAGTTTAAAAGAACAAATTAGAACTATTATAAACTTATTTGTAGCCTATATCGTGTTTTGGTTGAATAAAATTTTTTTNTAGCGGTATTAAAAAAAAAGTGCATGGAAAATTTTCATGTTCCAACTTTTGTGTGAATATTATTTTAATTTGGAAAATTAAAAAGGGAAAATATAAAATGAAAACTTAAAATTTAAGTTTATTTATGCTTTTTTTTTAATTTAAGAAAAATTAAGGAGGCTAATTATCCCTTATTTGTCTATGGCTTTCCCTACTCATTATTATGGTGTGCAGTCAAATATTATTTATTTTATTCGTTAAAAACAAATTATTTCTTTTATAAAATTTTTATCTGATATATAATTCGGATTTGAAGGTAAAATATGATTTAAAATAATTATCTGCCTAAAATTAATTTAATTAAAAAAATGACTCTTCACCAAGTCATTATTAGCAAGCTGAATTTAAATTTTTTTCCCTTATTTATTTATCCTTTTTTAAGGGGTGAATTTATGTCTAATCAAACAGCATTTGTATTATATAATTTTAADAATTTTTTTGGTCTTCTAGAGAGAGATATAAATATGGATGAAAAAAAATCCATTGCCAAAAGGGGAAAAAATAGCAAAAAAATTCCCCAATTTTGTAAATAAGATTGGATTTAAGAGAAYCTTTTTTTTTTYTAGAAACGGATTTAAGAGAATCTTTTAACGAAGAAAATATCCAAAAATACAACCGAKAGATATTTATAGATACAAATATTTCCCCAATTTCCCAAACAAAATTTCCCCCACAGAAAAATTTCCAAAACACACATTTTTCGTCTTCTTTTTTGGAATGTGACGTTTCTCTCTATAATTAAAATAGTGATCTTTTTCTTTTCATATTTAAATTAAAATTATTTTCAATTCAAACACTATTTTTCGTGCTTTTTGTAAATATTTTACGATTGTTTACCATTTTTAAAATATCTATTTTAATCTTTAAAATAAATAAAAAATTATTTATTTTTTGCCATTGGATTATTTCAAGTGGATAACATTATCTAAATATGAATATTAGCATATTAAGTAAGATCAAAATAAAAATTYTTAGATAAGTATTAAGTGAGTAGATTTTAAATGAAAAAATCGTGCAAGTACTAAAATAGTTACTTATTTTTGAGATCGATGATTGAAATTGTTGTTTAAAAATTATATAGACCAAAATGAAAAAAACTCGAAAGCTAATGAATCGGAATGAAATTCAACTATTTTTCTTACAAACTTATAGTTGATAATCTAAGTCTCCCTACTTTTTTTTTTAGTTATTTAAGGGAACTTTGGGGAATGAAGATTTGGACTTATAATTTTAACGGAGGTACGTYGTTTATAGCCATTAAGAAAAAAACAATATGATCAACAGGGACCCAATTTAATCAAAATTTCTACATTTAAACTAAAGTTCCACCTTTTTTTTCTTTAGTTTTGATATTTATTTTATGATGATAGTTTTTCTTAATGCAACACGTGGGTGGAGATCCTAACTCGTGACCTTTTGATCAAAAACWTRTATCAATTATCGTCGAGTTAAGTTCACGTTAGGATAACAGTTTTTCTTTTTCTTTTTATTTTATTTTTTTGTGAATTGTTTCATAGCCTTTTTTCCTCGGATTGCACTCCTAATTTGTTAGTTAGGAGAAAAATCACGTTCTCTAAATTTATTTTATCTTTATAATTAATCTTACAAATTTATTCAATTTCGATTAAAGTTATTGTCMACTTATAGTTGAACGAGGCACCTTTTACCAAAAAGGTTGTAAGTTCGAATTTTCACATTCACATGATATGACTCAACTGGTTGAGACACCTATCTTCGATCAAAAGTTCATGAGTTYGARTCTCCACCCCACATGTTRTACTATAAAAAAAAAGTCATCATCGATGATTTATTTAGTTATTTATTGAACTTTTACTTGTTTCGTTTTTCATTCTATTGTTTTTAACTTAGAAAACATCTAATTGGTGTCTAGTATGCTAGTAGGGATGGCAAAAAAAAACATGTGGGACACGATCCCTATAGGTACCCGATCCGATCAGGTAGGAGAATCTCCGATTATATCGGGAATGGGGTGAGATCGAGGTCCTTGGCACAGACGGGATGGAGATGGGCAGGTTCCTGCCTCATTTAATATTCTATTAATTTCTATATTTTTATTTATAATAGTATTAACATATGTTAATGTGTATAAATACCTTTTTAATTTTTTAATACATTGTAATTATACTTATTTAAAATTTACACTATTTCATAATATAATATAATATTTATTTATTGGGTACAGGTTCCGCACGAGGAACTCATCCTTAATCGAGAAATCCCTGCCCCTCACCGTCCCCATCCCCAAAGTTTCCAACATGGCAGGGATGGGGATGGCCCCCCGACACGCCTCATTACCATCCCTATATGCTAGTACTAATAATATAATCAAACAATAACGGTATAGAAACTAACTATGGTATTGCATCAGCTTCCCTACATTTGTACGACATTATTTGTTTGTTGTTATTTTTCATGGCTTCTCCTTTCATGAATGTGTCTCGTACTACATCATCAATATTCAAGTAATTCGTCTAAACAGGTAACAAAATGTTTAATTGTCAAGACATTTAGAGTATGTTTAACCGTATTCACGTTTATTTGTTTCTTGTTTTCTCAAGCAAAGTATAATTATGTTTGGTAACTATTTTTTTTATACTGTTATAACTTATTCATTTTTCATCGAAAAAAAACATAAACATGTGCGGTATTTATTGTTTATTTATCCTCTAAAATTTTAAGTTAAAAAAAAAGTTTTGTATGAAATTTAAAATTTAAAATTACATAATCAAATTTTGTATATTATATATTTATTCTTTGATATTGATAAAATAATATTTTTATCTATCTAGGTTTTCAAAAAACATAAACTTGATTTTGTTGTTTCCAAAATTTCTATACAAACCGTTACGAAGCCCTCATCTACTCATTTTAAAATAATGAGTGAAAAAGATAAAATAACTCGGATGCGTTGATCGGTAATCTGAAAACAAAAATCTGAGGGGGAACTTCAAGTTTTTAATCTTAAAATTACACACCCACCATAAAATATTTTGAAAAAAATGAGTGGAGAGTATAGATGTGGAAAATAATTGAGTGGTGATGAGAAGATGAAAATAGAAAGTGGGATTTATGAATGTGAAGGTCAAGAATAAGATGTGGTCATCTCCACTCCACTTTCTTTCTTGGATTTTCTCGGGAAACAAACAATAATGCAAAACGAATACAACTCCTCCTCACGCTCTTTAGTCCTTTCCCCATATGTCTTTTCCTTTTATGTTACGTAAAGTACACAAATCCAACATAATGAGTGTCTTCCATGCTATACAATTAATAATTCAAAAAATAAAAAACAAATATTTATATGTGTTTGTGGACGCTTCTTTTAAATACAATAATTTGTGATTTTTTAGATGTCTTAACTAGTTGAGTTAAGCTAATTACAACGATTGCTAATTAGCGTCTATTATATATGCCTAAATCATAAGCTAAACTTAGATGTCTTGAATACGATTATATATGTAGAATGAACGTTAATTAGTAATTACTATAATTTTAAATGGATTTAAACACGTATCGGGTATTTTAAATTAAAAAATGGGACATATGTTGGATATTGACAATCATGAAACAAGTTAGTTCAAATTGAGATTGTGTCAAGATCGCCAAAGTGCTTATCTTTGATGAAACAACATGTTACTCGTAGAACTAAAACCATGTTCATAAATTGAAAATCAGTAAAATTTGCTAATACGAGCTGAACTTAATTGGTTATAGCTAAATCGAGGCCCCTTATCCAAACAGTGCCCTAAATCCTCCATTAAAATACCAAACGACAGATCTGGAGCATCCTCCAACCAAACTTCCGTGAGCTCGTCATGTGGGGGTGGAGACTTAAACTCATGACTTTTAATTGATGATATATGATTTATTAACTTAGTTCAACTAGTTAAGACAGACCAAAAGTTCGTGAGTTCGAATCCTACTCTCATGTGTCTATATTTATAACAAATTTTTAATTCGAGAAAATTCAAATTAAAAATATGATTTGAATGTTATATTTTGGATATGACACGTGGGAAATTTTTGGCTTGTCTATTTTACCCCTCCCGTAAAAAGGGAAAGTAATATTCATTCAACCGATATTCTCTGGACTTTAAGCTTTATTTTGCCACTTTTGCTGTCCATAGATTTTCGAGCATGCGGTAAATTTGCTATATAATAGTAATTTAGTTGCATTCGGTAATTGTGTGATTTTTTAACGTTAATATACATTCACTTTTTAAATTCTGAATTTTAGATAAGCTAAGAAGTATTTTTATAATAATTTATACGACTTTTACTCTTAAGGATAAAAAACATGCATTTTCATAAAATTCGTGTGGTTACAGTATGCTTAAATTATTAAAAAATCAACTAACATGAACTTAGTTCAGTGATAAATTAGTATATATTTGAGTCATAAGTTCGAGTTATCTCCCCTACTTATTATACTAAAAAAAGGTGAGAGGGTTTTTTTTTTTAACAAAAAAAGTTAAAGGTTAATAAACTTTACAATTTTTATATAAACTTTAGAAATAACTATTTTAGTTATTGCTAGATTCTTTTGCCAATATATATTTATCCAATATTCGCTTCCATTTTAACACGTATTAGTATATACACTGAAAGTCACGATATAAATTTATTAAAAGCAAAGTAAAGGTAATAAAACAAACTTAAAAGTTGAATGATAAAAATAAATTCATATTCCGGTGTAAGGCGACAAGTCAAGTTGAAAGTCAAAGATTGCTAAAAACTAATGAAATGTTCCTGAAACCTATTCACTCGAGCGAGAGGTTAGAGAGTGGAATTTCAGATCTACCACGAAAGGTCAAGTGTGAAGGTAAATAACTCGATCCAAAAGTTGTTGAAAGTTTAGAAACTAATGCTCTATTTGGTACTGAGGACTGAATTTCAAATCCGGTTTGCAGGTTAAAAAAATCGGATTAAAATGTTCAAATTTCATAGAATTTCAAAGTAAATTACCTATTTAACCTGGTCAATATTTTAATTTAGAATTAATAAATTTAGATTAGAAGTCTAAATCAGTAAAATTTTTATTTTCTTTTAATTTTCGGCCAACACCCACAAAAAGAAATTTAATTTATGTTCCAAATAAAATAAAAATTTTAAAATCATTTATTGAATTTCAAACTATGAAATTTAAAATTATTTATTTAAGTTTTCTCGATGCAAACAGGGTGTAATAGTCATTTTCCCCGGCATTGAAATAGACATTTTGTAGGTTGAAGGAACAAATGTAAGATTTTTTAAAAATTATTTGATGAAATGAAAAGAAAAAATATGGATAAATATTAAAATTCCACCGACTTACCCTCCCTCCATGCATTCATGCACACAAACTTCATCGAAATCCAAGCCCTACAACACGACACCAAAAACCCTATATTTCTTCAGTCTTCTCACGCGTTATGCCCCTTTCTGGCAACAATTTCAATTAATTGAGATTTTGAAGAACTTACCGAACTCGAAATTGGGGAAATTTTTCTACCCATTGGTAACACTGTCATAATCCACTAGATTAAGATGAGAATTGGGCAAATTCTCACCTTCTTCCTCCAGTGATTTGGTTGTCTTTGGAGAAAAAGAAAGTCCATCTTCCCAATTACTGAGTACTGTTTCTTTTCTTCTTGAAAATGGCCTTTTTCAGATGGATTTGGGACCAAAAATAGGGACACCCACTTACTAAATCATTGTTTTTTTCCAATTGGGTTGGGGAATTTTAGTGGGGTTTGCCATTTCTTTGACTGTTTCACTAAAAATTCAAACATTTTTCACTTGGGGCGAGGTGGTTGAGAATTGAGAGTAGTTTTTTACATGTAAACTGAAAATGGGGTTTATATTAAACAAATAGAAAGTAGATGGAAACGAGGAGAAGGAATGGAGAGAGAGTGATGGGGAAAGATTTTGGTGGGAGCACTATATGTGTTCATGCGCACTAAGAATAAGAAAGCCCGCCGATGGTGATGATGGGAACTGAAAATGCATTTTTGTGAATGAAATTGAACAGAACAGTACAAAATCGGAGAACCCTTTTGAAAATTTTTTGTGGGTCCGTTCCATTTTCCGCCATAGCCAAGAACCCAACCCAACAACCCCACATCAATCCTCCATCCTATCATTACCATCGAGAAGTCTCACTTACTCTTCTTCTTCTTCTTCTTCTTCTTCTTCTTCTTCTTCTTTTCTTCATCCTCTCACCAACAAATCTGCGCTCCCCCTTTCTTCCGTTTCAAGGCATTTCTGTCACTTTCTACTTTCCGATTTCTGATTTTCTCTCTCTTTCTTGGAGGATTGTGTTGGCTCTGGTTTGTTTTGGCGATGGTGGGATATTGAGGAAGTGGGTGGTGGTTTGGGTTTGGTTTTTTTTTTTCATTTCTTCTTTTTGGTTTCGCTTCAATGGGAAATTGCTGGTACCGATGGGAACCTACGGTTAATAGGGTCTCGGCTAATGCAAAATCAGGTAAAAACTCTGATGGGACCATGGATTTTGATGCTGTTTCTGTGTTTATGATGATTCAGATGATGAAACTCTGTTTTCTTCTTCTTCTGTTTGCCTTTGAGATCATCTATGGTTTTCTCTTCTGTGTTTTCATGCCTGTTGCAGAGCTTCTGTTCGTTCTCTTTTCTTCAGGATGATTATATTTTCTGCAAATGGTTTTTGGATTTTTGATCAGTTAGTTCTTTTCTCTGTTCTTTTTGTTTACCATGAAACCCATTTTTTTAGAATAATATGAAGAAATCTGGTATTTGATTTGTTTTGATCTGAAAAAAAGATGGAATCAGAGGCAATCTCTGTATATCCACTCAGAAAGTGGAGACAATATTTCTCTACCTTCAAATGTGCAACAATGGGAGTGGACACTTCCTCCATAGTGGGTTGATTCTTATCTGATTCTCAAGCCTTTTATTGGCTAATAGTTTAAAGTGAAATTTCACTTTCCTCTTACATCTTTTTAACTTATTGTTCTTTTCGTATGAGTATTCTTAATCTCAGCTTGTTTATTGGCCATTTTTCCTTTGTAATATCTCCTTTTGATTATTCAAATCAACCTTTTTGGTGTTTGGTTTCTGAGAAATGATAAAGAGGAAATGCTAACTTCTCTCGTGATGTTTTTCTAGAGTCCCCAAAAGTAAACAGTACATCAGCTTATCAAAGGGATGGTGATCACAAATTGCCCTCTAACCCCAAAGAAGTAGAAGACTTGCGTCGTGACTCAGGCACTAATCCTCTGATTGCGTTTACGTTCGACGAGCTGAAGATAATCACCGGAAATTTTAGACAGGATCGTGTGTTGGGCGGAGGAGGGTTCGGAAGTGTTTATAAAGGGTTTGTTACAGAGGACTTGAGAGAAGGAATTGTTCCTCTTCCAGTTGCTGTTAAGGTTCATGATGGGTTTAACAGTTATCAAGGCCATAGAGAATGGCTGGTAAGTTTCTGTTCTTCCTCTTTTGTTGTTCATATTTGATTCCTATATGCTCTCTCGAATCAAGAGAACTACTGTTTTCTAGGCAGAAGTCATATTTTTGGGACAGCTTTCTCATCCAAATTTGGTAAAGTTGATTGGATACTGCTGCGAAGATGAGCATCGGGTACTCATATACGAGTACATGGCTCGGGGGAGCGTGGAAAACAATCTGTTTTCAAGTAAGCAGCCAAGTAAATCCCACAAAATTCTTTGTCTAACCTTTAACTTCATTATTAGTATAGTTCTTTTGAGTTTTCGACAATGAATATTATGGAGCGTACACTTCATGAAAGATGAAACCATGACCATAACATTCTCGATTTCATACTCGTTCTATTAGAAGATCGATGATTTTAATATTGAAACATCAACATGCGGCAATAAACAAAGATGAAATACAAACACATAGTAAGACATCAATGCCTGCAGGACATGATAGGTTGGGATGTCGTTATCGGGATTAGAAGGCAAAGGTTTTTGTATGTGACATTGAAATTGTGGAAAGTGAAAGCGATGGACTTATTTATATCCCTTCTTTATAAAATATATGGATGGTGACAAGACAGTATGTCAAAAATTATTTCTCTTTGGTTATATTGTAAAGTTGTTATAATTAGGATGAATATTATATCTCAAGTAAACATTTTCTCTCTGTTTTCTAGTGTAAATTGTTGCCTTTTGGAATTTGGGTTACTTTTAGCAGGTTTTTAGAAATACATCTAGAGGAGTTTGACTATTTTGTTAACCAGTTTTAAGTTCTGTTGGCTCGGTTTTACGATTATAAAATTTTGTACTATTGAACAATCTTTGGCAAGTATGTTTATGTTTCCATGCCTCGCAGGAGTATTGCTTCCTTTGCCTTGGTCCATTAGAATGAAAATTGCATTCGGTGCTGCAAAAGGACTTGCATTTCTTCATGAAGCAGAGAAGCCTGTCATCTATCGTGATTTCAAGACGTCGAACATTCTGCTCGACTCGGTTGGTTTATTATTGTCTTTTCTATTTTGTCAGTCCTTGTCTGAAGTCGAACATATAGATTTTCGAGTACCTATGTGCTCTGTAGGAGTGTATAAGGACGTTATTGTCATAACGGTTCACTACCGTTGGCTCAACAGTTTGGTTTTGATCAGTTTGATTCAACAACAGGACTATAATCCAAAGCTTTCAGACTTTGGCCTTGCGAAAGATGGACCAGTTGGCGACAAATCTCACGTTTCTACTCGTATAATGGGAACATATGGATATGCTGCACCAGAATACATTTTGACAGGCACAAATTCCTTGCCTTTTTTTTTTTGTTCGCTGCTCAAAATCGAATGGTTTTTCGTGTATTACAAATATGGTGGCATCACATTAACTCTTTACCCTTTATTCTCAGGACATCTGACCCCTCGAAGCGACGTATACAGCTTCGGAGTTGTTCTTCTCGAACTACTGACGGGAAGAAAGTCACTGGACAAACTTCGGCCAGCTCGAGAGCAAAACCTTACGGATTGGGCTCTCCCTCTCCTAAAAGAGAAGAAGAAGCTGACGGGCATCGTAGATCCGAGACTGGGAGGAGAATACCCGGCAAAAGGATTCCAAAAGGCAGCAATGCTGGCATACCACTGCCTGAACAAGAACCCGAAAGCAAGGCCGCTGATGAGAGACATCGTCGACTCGTTGGAGCCGTTACAAGAAGAACCAACTGATGAGATAGAGACAACCTCCTCCTTACCTGTTGCTAATGAGACTGTGGGAAAGGAAAATGAAGTCTGAAACTACTGTACCAAGGCAAGGCAAAGGCAAAGGCAAAGGCAAAGGCTTTGTATTTTGAGTTTCTGTTTCATCCTTGTTTCTTAGATGTGGAAATTTTTGTTTTATGATGAAATTATGCTTTGCTTTTAACCACTTTTCTAACAGTTACTAAATACATTCTCACTGCTTATAATAGAAAGTGTATTTGTACATGTTCTGAATTTTCTCTCTCTAATACAAAATAAGCTTTGATTAGGTGATTTGTATAAACAGTTATTTATGGATTCTTTATCATTTAAATAGTATTTTCTTTTAAAAAGTGACTATTTTTGTCTCTTCGTTTTTATTTTTATCTTATTTATTTTGATCATACTTGGTATGATATTCACTCACTAAATTTTTTGAAACATAGTCATAGATTTATATGGAAGGATTTTTGTTATATATAAAATTTATATTATAATTTTGTAAATAAATATTAAATTGGTCTCTTTTTAAAAGTAAAGGATTAAAAATTAAAACGCATCGAGATCGAGATCCAAATAAATCAAAGTCAACCGATAAAATAGTATTTAAACTATATTATATTTCAAAAGCATTGAAGGGAAGGCAATGAGATGTAGCTTAGTGTTTCACACGTGTCGTTTTAATTAAAAATGAAAAATAAAGGCTTCTTTGGATGGGAAAAAAAAAAAGAAAAGTAAAAGTAAATTGAATACTCGTCAACAAAGACGGCACGCGGATTAAATATCAATTTTTACATAATTGTTCTTAAAAGATTTTCGCTATTACCCATATTACTATAAAATATAAATTAATTTAGTTTTTTCAATTATTTCATGAGTGTGAGCTTACCTACGTTATTAGTTCATAAATTTAATTTATGTATGTTGTTTTGACATGCTTTAAATCATTCTGCAGGGTAGTTGAGTTAAATTTAACAATGTACTCATAAACAAGGTTTTAAATGTCGATTTCGATGAAAATATCGATCAATGTCTATAAAAATATTGATCGATGTCGATGTCTATAAAAATATTGATCGATGTCGATTGATATTTCTAGAAAAATTATAAAAATAAAAAACTCAAAAAATATTTAAATTAACAAATAATCGTCTAACCATTTATAAACAAAATAAAAATGGTTAATATTAATATTATGTTTATTTTAGTAAAATTTTGTTGATATTTTTTATATCTTGTCGATTTCTTTTGGTAATATTATTGAAATATCGATTTACCTCTCAAGTCGATGTCGGATCCATGGATACATGAGCATGTCGATGGACATGTCGAAATATCGAAAGATATTTAAAACCATGCTCATAAACGAACAAGGGACGATTTGTGATGTTAAATCTATAATTTGAAAAGAAATTTCGCACTTGGTAGCTAGAATATTTGTTAAGGATGCACAAATATAACCAAACAATTGAATATCGTCTCTTGCTCGTACTTCTCTCACTGTAGCCATTCCTCCCTATCTTCCAATCCCTTGTGTTATAGATGGGAAGAATTCTTATTTTCTACGATTTCAATTTCGAATTCTAGAAAAGAAGATATCTTGATGACGTTAAAATTTTTCAGATATTTAGTGACGTTAGGTTTTTTCCTCTATAAATATGATGAACTACTCATAATTGAAGTACGCTGCAAATCTCTATTCTTACGCTCCACATAAAACTCCAATTGCATTGAAGGGTGCATACCATTTCTATTTTGCAGGTCTGTCTATTCCTTTTTTATTTTTTTAAGATTGGTGCAAATTTGGTAGATCCAAAAGGAGCAAATTTACGCACCAACACCTTACCTCTCATGATTTCTTCCTTGTCCCAACTCTCCCAATCTCTTCGAATCATTGAAAGGTCGAGACTCTCATCTTGTCTCACTCTCTCTCAACTTTCTGTCTCAATTATGCTCTCTCCTGTCTCTCTCATACACTCACAACCCATCATCTTTTAAACAATCGAATTTTAAACACATAAATCGATTGATTGAATCGATTGGTTAGTCACTCACTGAAAATGAAGAAAATTTGGCCATTTCCAAAAATGGAAACTGACCAGTGCCAAATTAACGCCGACCGACAACTGAACACCTATAATCTTTTGAGTTTTGCAAATAAAAATATTTGAAATACGATTCTCGATTTTACAGTTATTCCAATTTTACCCTTCGTGTATATCAATGATATATTAAATTGTGCATATCGATGATATACTAAATAAGGTACATCAAATTAGATATATATTAGGTATACGAGCTCCATATTATATTGGACTTTTGATTTATTTTGCATAGATTATAGTTTACGTAAAATTGAGAAGTGGTTGCTACTTTGGTAAATTTGTATTAATTATTTGTTACTTTTGCATATGTCAATTTTTATTGATTTATTGTTTTATGTGTATAAAATTGTTAAGTACAACAAGATGTCCATTTTTATTATTTAAATAAAGAATTACGAACGTGATCACTAAATGATCACCATCACAGTCCACGAAGGAAAACAATTGTCCCAAAGGACATAAACACGAGAAAAAATGGCAAATTTAGGCAATACTTGCCTGTTCAAATAATTATGAACCGAACATATTTTAGCCCATCAAACATATTCCCCAAAGTTACGACGTCCTCAAACTCATTCAATAATGTCGAGGGAGAATCCTCAATTAATGGGGGTATATAATGTCAATTATGACACTTCTATTCACAACGGGATGGAAAATAATTGCCGCCAAAGTTGCCTTATTTTCCACTATGATAAGTAAAGATTAATTAGACAAATTTTTTAAAATCAAGCTGGTTACAAATCTCAATACAAGTAAGATTGATAGTCTCTCCAGATTCTAAAACGGTGTTCAAGAATAATTTAATTATTTTTCCTTCTTTGTTTTTTTTTAAATATTTAAATATTTTGCCCATTTGGGTTCATCAGTCCTCGTTATGATGGCGAATATGGGCATTGGAATCTCATTTTTATCTTATTTATTTATTTTTTTTAGTACTAGTGGAGAATTTTATCACCACTTGAAGAATGTTGGACCAATAATTATTTTTTTAGTAATATAATAAACTGTTGGAGTCTAGGTTACCAAACCAAGCTATCTTTTTATTTTTTTTTCCTTCAAGAAAACCAAAGAATAAATGAAACAATGTTGTTGAAATATAGTTAGAGGAGTTGGGATTCAATTAATAATATAAATAAATAAATAAAACCATCAAGGCTTTATAAGGGGAGTGAAGCAAACATTCTAACAAAATATATATATATATATATATATATATATGATAATTAAGACGTTTCAATCAATCAAGTGTCAAAAAAGTAAATATTTTGAAAAATAAGAAAGTTAGTCAATATTTGAATTAGGTGGACGACGTACTAAACCTTATACCTTTAAAATTTGCAAAACTTTATGTTTGAGGGATGATATTAAAAATCTAAGTTGTTTTATTAGTGACTTGTATTATGGTTACAAAATTCTGAGAAAACATCCTCGAATCTTAGATTGAAATGTAACCACAATACAAGGATGATATTTTGGTTTTCCATTTTTGACTTTTGCAATGTAATTTTATTTTTCTAAATTAAAACCAAAATATACACGTAAATACAAGCCGAGATTTGATAGTCTATCTTAGATTGAAGGTCTCTACATCAAGCTATTTCTACACTACTTAAAAGGAACAATTAATTATGAACTTCATATAACTTATTATTCTTACTTATACATAACTAACTTATTCCGATGGACATGTTGTCACGATGATAAAAGTCTATAACAATTCATTGTTTTTACTTAAGAAATTCTCTGGAGTCGTGGTTCTCAATACATACCATGTAATATACTCAATATGTTATACTTTATACCATATCTTTTAGAACTTCATATTGGCTTTCAGCTTGGATTGTTTACCCTGTAATCAGCCTTTACTATTTTACATGTGTTTAGGTGAATATATGTTAGTTGAATTACATTAACATGATCAAGTTCAAAGGCTACCAAAACAAAAGAGAAGAAAAATAAGTATTGTAGCACCGTGAACCATAGCAGAAATTGCAGGGAAAGTGTTCGTAGCACCGTAGCAGACGACGAGGATGTTGTGTTGGGCAGTGAACGAAGAAGAAAAWCGGAAACAATGGAGGAGAGATGAAAAAAATCATTTTTGAGGGATTTGGAGGGGAGAATTAAGGAATTTGAATTGAAATAATATATATGGACCCACGTTTATTAAATGATTGTGATATTAATTTATGGAAATAACAATTTTATATTTCAAAAATCCAAATCCATTAATAAATGAAAATGCAATCAATAGAGTAAATTCGGAATTAAATGAAAATCCTACCTGCAGAAATCTTAGATAAATAAGTTTTTAAAACAACCATCCGAATATATCATCTCTAAATTAAATTGCGCTTATGATCCAAATAGAGCCCAAATCTGTGTATTGAGTTCAAAATCGGTCCAAATCCACTAAAGTTTGTGTGAGACTCTATTAACAGAGAGGTTAGATAGACTAAAATGAGAGGATCATACGTTAAAAATGGTACATTACACAAAATCAAGTTGATTAATTCGAGTTTATCTTCTTAAAATTTCTTACGAACACATTTCAAACTCACAACCAAATTGTAAGATATATGCTAATTACCGTCAAGCTTTGCTCGCCTTGGTACAAATCCTTATTATTATTATTTTTTTATTTCCTTTCTCCTCCTCCATTATGTTCTTCAATGTCAGTAAAAAAAAGAAGAAGAAAAGAAAAAGAAAAAGAAAGAAAGAAAGAAAGAAAGAAAGAGGAAAGAAAGAGGAATAGATTTGCTAAAATATATATTCTATCATTTTAAAATCTATAATGAATTTTATACAAAAATACAATCTCACACCAATCCAAGATTTTAAATGTGAATGGAAATATACACATCTCAGTTTATAGAAATATCGATAAAATGTCAGATATTTATGTAAAAATTAGAAAGATTTAAAAATTGTAAAAACTATTTAAATTAACAAATAAATATTTTATACTTTTTAAATTAGTTAAAAATAATTAATATTAATATTATGTATATATTAATGACATCTTGTTGATATTTTTCATATTTTGTCAATTTTCTTATATTATGATTGAAATGTCAATTTATCCCTTATGTCGATATCGAATGAATGAAAATATGGATACGTCGATGAAAATATCCACGT